CGCCAGACCTCCCTGTCCATCACAAACTCCCGTTTACTCAAACTCATGCCCATCGAGTCGGTGATACCATCCAGCTATCTCATCCTCTGTCGTCCCCTTCTCCTCCTGCCCCCAATCCCTCCCAGCATCAGGGTCTTTTCCAATGAGTCAACTCTTCACATGAGGTGGCCAAAACATTGGAGTTTCAGCTTCAGTATCAGTCCTTCCAATGAACACCCAGGACTTATCTCCATATAACCTTAGTTAGATATTAATGTCATCCTGTGAGACTGGTACTTACCTAAGTTCCATAAGAGATACAACTCTGCCTTGTTACTTTTCCTGTAATGCTTGGCATATAAAGGCCTTCAATAAGTATCTTCTGAATGAATGTCTACTTTAATAGTTTCTTATGCATAGTAATTAATATTAAGGAAACTATGAACAAAGCTAGTGGAGGTGATGGAATTCCAGTTAAGCTATTTCAAATCCTGAAAGATGATGCTGTGAAAGTGTTGCACTCAGTATGCCAGCAAATTTGGAAAGCTCAGCAGTGGCCAGTAAAAGGCCAGTTTTCATTCTAATCCCAAAGAAAGTTAATGCCAAAGAATGCTCAAACTACCGCACAATTGCACTCATCTCACACGCTAGTCAAGTAATGCTGAAAATTCTCCAAGCCAGGCTTCAGCAATACGTGAACCATGAACTTCCAGATGTTCAAGCTGGTTTCAGAAAAGGCAGAGGAACCAAAGATCAAATTGCCAACATCCGCTGGATCATCGAAGAATCAAGAGAGTTCCAGAAAAACATCTATTTCTGGTTTATTGACTATGCCAAAGTCTTTGACTGTGTGGATTACAATAAACTGTGGAAAATTCTGAAAGACTTGGTAATACCAGACCACCTGACCTGCCTCTTGAGAAACCTGTATGCAGGTCAGGAAGCAACAGTTAGAACTGGACATGGAACAACAGACTGGATCCAAATAGGAAAAGGGGTACATCAAGGCTGTATATTGTCACTGTGCTTCTTTAACTTATATGCAGAGTACATCATGAGAAACGCTGGCTGGAAGAAGCACAAGCTGGAATCAAGACTGCTGGGAGAAATATCAATAACCTCACATATGCAGATAACACCACCCTTATGGCAGAAAGTGAAGAACTAAAGAGCCTCTTGGTGAAAGTGAAAGAGAGTGAAAAAGTTGGCTTAAAGCTCAACATTCAGAAAACTAAGATCATGGCATCTGGTCCCATCACTTCATGGCAAATAGATGGAGAAATAGTGGAAACAGTGTCAGACTTTATTTTTGGGGGCTCCAAAATCACTGCAGATGGTGACTGCAGCCATGAAATTAAAAGACGCTTACTCCTTGGAAGGAAAGTTATGACCAACCTAGATACCATATTAAAAAGCAGAGACATTGCTTTGCCAACAAAGGTCTGTGTAGTCAAGGCTATGGTTTTTCCAGTGGTCATGTATGGATGTGAGAGTTGGACTGCAAAGAAAGCTGAGCACTGAAGAATTGATGCTTTTGAACTGTGGTGTTGGAGAAGACTCTTCAGAGTCCCTTGGACTGCAAGGAGATCCAAACAGTCCATCCTAAAGGAGATCAGTCCTGGGTGTTCATTGGAAGGACTGATGCTGAAGCTGAAACTCCAGTACTTTGGCCACCTCATGCGAAGAGTTGACTCATTGGAAAAGACCCTGATGCTGGGAGGGATTGGGGGCAGGAGGAGAAGGGGACGACAGAAGATAAGATGGCTAGCTGGCATCACCGACTTGATGGACATAAGTTTGAATAAACTCCAGGAGTTTGTGATGGACGGGGAGTCCTGGTGTGCTGCGATTCATGGGGTCGCAGAGTCGGACACGACTGAACTCAATTTTGTAATAAATGTATATTTATATGTTAAAACATATATACTTATTGAAGGCAGCAAACTATCACATATATCCATGAGTTTTGAAGAAGGATCTCAACCATGAAATGGCAAAGACTTGGTCTCTAATCCCCGTGTTTGCTGTAAAGAAATGTACATGAATAAAAGGGGACTGAGTTACCAGAATCTCTTAAAAAAAAAAAAAAGTTAAATGGCCTAAACCTCCTTCAAATGACTCTTAAGATTTCTGCCAAGGACTTCCCAGGTGGTCCAGTGGTTAAGACTCCACCCTTCCATTGCAGGGGGTATGGCTTTGGTCCCTAGTCAGGGAACTAAGATTCTGCATGCTATTTTGCATGCTGCATGGCCAAAAAAATATACTTCTGCGAAACACTCCCTAGAGTGGGCTTCTGAATTCTACAACCTTGATTTAAGTGTTCCTTTATAGGAAAAAGTTTTGGGGGAAAAAAAGCAATATTTATTAAAATATAAAAACCAAATTTGAGTAACAGTAAATAATATGATTACTGCAATTAGACTGTGATATACTTTGACATTTTGTTTCACTATAACTTATGACTTTTCCTTTAACTTAGTCAAATTCACTCAGTTTGTATCATTTCAGCGTCTGGGAATCTGAATTGCAATTATAACAACTTTATAATTCCAAGGCATAGTATATGTTTTAACTGGAGAAAAACAAGGTTTAGCCAGTAACTTTAAAATAGTAATTGCTGAATGAAAAAACAAATATGGTAAGACTTCTGAAGCTTTAACATATGTCCATTCTTCATGATCTAATCAATAAGGGATGCTCCAGTCAAAGGGATTTTTAAAAAAATTTTTTATATGCTCAAGGATGCATTGTGGGCAGTAATGTTATTTCCATCAATGTAACAAATTAGTAAGTTGATAATTTATTTATAAATTCAATAGTAAATTGAACTAAGGAAATAATTTCATTGGTCTCTCAAACTTTTGAAATCTTAATTTCAGGCTTGTAGTATAATCACCGTTAAAGTGTCATAAGCCTCATAAATTGGTATGCACTTATGGACTCCTCAGTGGCTTGTCCATGCCTGTTACATACAGCTTAACTACATAACGTGAACCAGTGAGCAAGACCCTACACCAGGAATGTGTAGGTTGTGGAGAGCTTACACTATTTGAGTATGTTCAGTTGCTGAGGCACTAAGAGCTAGGCTACTGGAGCCAAATGTAACACCCACCCAATTAATTAACTTTTAAAACACTTGATATAACCCACTGACCCCATACCTCCTAATATTCTTTAGCCTGATGGGCCACTGTTTTGAGACTCAGGCTTTAGGCTAGTGATAGAAGTAATTCCACTGGTGTTCAGATTTTTCTTTCTTTTCATAAACTGCTGACAAAGCAACAAAAAAAGTACCATTTTTAAAAGATCAAGAAAAAGTCCCATTCTAAAAGACCTTGACCCTGTTAATGAAAAAATTTATTAGATTTATCAATTAAAATTTCTACATGACAGGCCCCTTAACCATGTCCTAAACACTTGTAGAACAAAATATTTAGCTATCTTTATTATAATTGGTTCTGACTGAAGCAAAACATATAAACATATCCCCTTCTTAAAATAGGTTGTGCAGCCCAGATTTGTAAATTTATCATTTCAAAACTAGGAATGCACTACAGTTAGTATAATTAACAAAATGGTTATCAGGAAGCTTGTCATTCATATATCAAGCAGTATATTTTATATTCAGCAAACAGTTTTATCAAATGTCCTTTAATTTCATACACAACAATATGATACATATTGTATAAGAAGCGCACAATAGTTTTGCGGTACAATTTCAAAGTGTATACAAATTGGAATACAGAGGTTGAACATTGGTGTGCTGACAGCATTTCTGAACTCTGGATAAACTGCATACAAAACTTACAATTCAAATATTAGCCAATCTGGAAACTTTACTTCCCATAGTATAAAAATGATACTTTGAGATGCAAAATATTTTTTACTAACTATATAAACATTTAAAATAATCATTAAAAACTGAACTTTAGAATTTATAAAGATTAGCTATAAAAATATATTGGCAGTCACTTTTCTTATAAAGGTACCATTCACTACATTACAAAATAGTCTCTAACATAAAATTGCCTTAGTAACTGTATTTAGAATCTGATAAACCTTACATTAAACTGATTATAAAATCCTCTTGGAAAACTTTGGTATGCATCTTCAGGTTTTTAAAATACTCTATCTTAAGGGCCTGTAAACATTCCATTCTATTAAAGCACAACAGAATAAGTAATGTATATTCAACTGCATACAGAATATAGAATCAAAAAACAATTTATTAAATATTTGTAGAAAATCACCATTCCCAGAGTAACCAAAAAACTATTTAAAAGTATCAAACTTTTAAACAATTCTTTTTCCATTCTGATAAAAAATGTTACAAAATCATCATACTCCATTCATGTACCTTAGATGTCTTTTAGGACAAGGCCTCAAAAGTTGTTAACCTAGTCTCAAAACCCCTCCTGAGTCCAATGAACAGACTTTTAAAAACCCATTTGAGACCTGACAACAGAACAAGTATATATAATCAAGATACATAATTGATATTTTTAGTTATGTATTAGCTTTTCTTTTATATTTGCAATGTAGAATTTATTGGCAGAGAGAGAACACACACACACAGTTGAAATAAGATAAATTTTAGGAAACAGAAATGCAAACCTGTAAGGGTAAACTGATTTATTTTAAAGATTTGATTTACCAAATTTTATCTGCCATTTTTGGAATATTGGCAACTATTGTTATTTAGAAAATTCGAATTGGTGAAAGTTCACTTCAAATGTTTCTTGAGTATGTTTAATTTTTACAGAGCTTCCAGTTGTGCCAGTAACTTTCTTGAGGTCTTTTTCCACTTTATCCTCTGTCACCAGATCTCTCACGTAAGGTATTTCTCTTTGAGTTGTAAAAACCTAAATAAAAAGCTTCATTTTTGACCTTTTAATTCATAAAACTCCACTAAAAAGAAATGATCTAATTTTTAGGCAAGTCCACAAAAATATTTTCTTTCTTAAGAATCAAACACTTTTATTAGAATAAAGATCCTTCAAAAATATTTTCTTTCTTAAGAATCAAACACTTTTATTAGAATAAAGATCCTTCAAAGTTTTTAACTCTTCTATTAGAGTTTTGTTTTGATTTTCCAGAACTGCGACTCGATTTTCCAGGCATTTCACATATTCTTTCTTCTTTCTGCGACATTCTCGAGCAGCTTCTCTAAATATAAGCATTAAAAACCAATGTTAGAAAAAAGTTCAAATTCTTTAAATGGTAAATGTGTGCTGTGTGTGCGCTAAGTCGCTTCAGTCGTGTCTGACTCTGCGACCCTATAGACTGTAGCCCGCCAGCCTCCTCTGTCCATGGAATTCTCCAGGCAAGAATACTGGAGTGGATTGCCATTCCCTTCTCCAGAGGATCTTCCTGACCCAGGGATCGAACCGGCATGTATTACATCTATTATGTCTAACCTGCATTGGTAGGCAGCTTCTTTTTTTTTTTTTTTTTTTTGGTAGGCAGCTTCTTTAACATTTGTACCACCTGGGAAGCCCAGGTGAAAAAAGTTAGAAAAAAGTTCACATTCTTTAAATGGTAAATGCACTTCAGTAATTTCCCCTGGTCATCCTTTTTTCCCCCTCATTAAAAAAAATTAAGGTATCATCTATATACAGTGAAACACAATGATCTTAAGCGCAGAATTCAATTTGCTATGGCAAATGCATATACCTATATAACCCACACATCCATCAAGACAGACATTTTTATTGCCCCAGAAGTCCCCTCATGCCCATTCTCCCCAAGCAACTACTTGTTTTGATTTTTTTTATCACCAAAGATGAAGTTTTTCCTATTCTATAACAGAACTTCCTTCAGACAACAGTCATACAGAATGTACTCTTGTGTCTGGTCTCCTGTCACTCAGTATATTTTTGAGGTTTATCCATACCCCACTGTATGGATATCATTACAATTTGTTGATCCATTCTGTTGAGCCATTTACTAGTTTTAGCTGCTACGCATGTCCTTGGTGCCAGTCTCTGAGAACATATGTCCCATTTCTCTTGGATAAACACCAAGAAGTGAAATGTATGGGTCCTCTGGTTAACTTTGGACATATAAATCCTCTAAATTTCAATTTTTAATCATAAACAATGCTTTGACACTCAGTTTTGTACATGTCCTGTTAGAATATTTCTATGGATTTTCATTGAAGTTTTATATACAGATACAACAAGTATTTTGAATTTTTTTTTGAACTAAAAACTGAAGATATTACCTGCAACTTGCTTTTTTTTTTTTACACATACTATTTTAATGATGTCTCTCTACTGGTACACAGTTCTTTTTCATGTAGACATTTCATTGTTAATTTTCACTTCCCTAACTGCTAGTGAAACAGGAACATCTTCAGAAGTTTAACAGTCTCCTCTGGATCTGCTCTTATTTATTTGCCTGTTATTCATACTTTTTGCCTATTTTACAGTTAGAAATCACTAGAAAGACACACACCCTAAGAACTCTCCGTGAATCATACATACTAACCCGTTATCTGTTTCTACATTATTTTCTAATCTACCACTTGATTTCTAATATTTTTATTTCTTATATGATAAATTCTCTTTTTTAGTCTTTTTCTTGGCTTAGATTAAAAACTGCCATGCAATATATTCCTAAATTTTATTGTCAAGATTTTATTGCTTAATTTTCAGACTTGTCTTTAATCCATCTGTAATTACTTCTGTATGTGGTATAAAATAGGAGTCCAATTTAATTTTCTTCTGGATGTGGAATTGTGTATCATTTCAAAAACATATTCAACTTTTTTTCAGTTGGGTTGTTATTAATTCAGATGATCTTTATATTTTTTCAAAGAAATCTTTTTTGGGGGGTCAGATATGTTTCAAATATCTTCTGTAGGTTTGAAGCTTATATTTTCAGTCACTTTCTTTTAATGAAAAGAAGTTATTGATTTTAATGAAGATTCATCAATCTTTCATGTTAATTTTTTATGTGTGTGTTATTTTAAGGAATCTTGCCTACACTTGAAACTGTGAGATTATATATTTTCAACCTAAAAGTTTTTAAAATTTCACCTTTCACATACTCTTTAATTCATCTGATATGGTGTGAGGAAGAAATTAGAAATTTTTTGATGTAACTATCCTAGCACCATTTATTGGAGTCCCTCCTTCCCTCAATAATCTGTCCTAACAAGGTTTCATGTATTCACAGACGTGTTTCTGAGCTCTCTACTCTATTTCACTAGTGATTTTGTCTACCTCAATGCCAGTATTATTTTAATTACCACGGTTTAAACAAGGTTTGATTATCTCCTCACCTTATTCTTGTCTGGAATATTTTGGCTGCTCTTGACCCTTTTTACTCTATAAATTTTAGTATCAACTTGTCAAGTTCTTCAAACAACCTGTTTGGGTTTTGATTGGAACTGCACTGAATCTATGGATCAAGTGGGAAAAAATAGTCATCTTTATAATACTGAGTTTCCATATCTGTGGACATAGTATATTCCTCCATTTATTTATTAATCTTCTTTAATGTCTCTAAAAATGTAATATTTTCCATAAATGTCCTGGACATCTTTTGTTAGATTTATTCTTGTATATTTCATTTATTGATAATATAAGTATCTTTTAAATAATTATTTACCAAACTCTTTATTGCTGATGTGAAGAAAACAGTTGATCTTTGAAACTGATTTTATATCTAGTAACCTTATAAATTCATTACTTACAGTAACCTTTCTCTAAATCCATTTTGGTTTTTTTTAAATCAGGCAATCATACAGAAAATAGTAACAGCTTTTATTTTCTTCATTTAAATCCTTGTAATATCCCCCCCTTTTTCCTGATTTACTAAACTGGCAAGGATTTCCAGTACAGTGTTGAAGAGAACTGGTTCTTTTTCATTTCTAAAGAGTTTGCAGATTATTCTCCTGGATAGTCTAAGCAAATGAATTTATCTTTGTTAAAATTAAAGTAGCAGTTTACTTTTCTTCTCCAATTTTTATCGTTTTTATAGTCTCTTGATCTTTGATGACTTTCAATGACATTCTTTTCTAAATATGAAAAACATGCTTCTTTCCGTCTCTCTCATCAGATAACTGAAGACTTCACAACACTCATTCTGTTGTCTGCTCTTTCTGCTGACTCTTGCTTCTAAAATATTCCTCAAGGCTCTGGACTCTAAAACCTGGACTCATGAATTTAAATCCTACCTCTTATCACTTACTGGGCAGTGTAACCTTGGTCAAGTAACTAGACTTCTCTAGGCCTCAGCTTCCTCAAGAAAATGGAAATAATTTTTTGTGAAAATGGTCTAAGGGCTTGGCATATATAATGGAGGCCTAATTCTTTGGGTATTCTGATTTTTCAACTTATATTTGTTAGAACTCAATGTGCAGGAATTCTTTAGACCCTGTGTTGAGGTGGCTTTCTCCAAGCAATTGGGGCTCTATGAACCCTCATCCATTATTTACTTATCTATTTTTTTGGACTGCATTGGATCTTTGTTGCTGTGCGCAGGAGTTACTCTCTAGTTGTGGTGTGTGGGCTTCTCATTGAGGTGGTTTCTCTTGTTGCAGAACACAGCTGTAGGGCGCGCAGGCTCAGCAGTTGTGGCACACAGGCTTAGTTGCCCTGTGGCATACGGGATCTTCGTTCCTGGACCAGGGATCAAATCAATGTCCCCTGCAGTGGCAGGTAGATTCTTAGCCACCGGACTATCAGGGAAGTCCTGATCCATTTTTTAAGTTACAATTCTCAGCTTATGGGTGTAGATGTTCTTGGGTCTTGACCTCAAGGAAGAAAATCTTTGATGCAGTTCTCCAAGCTAGAATCCCTACACTCTGTCCCTGGTCCCCTCTGCATACGAAAGCTATGCCAATTACAAAGATCTGAACTTCTCCCCAGGAATATACAGTAGCTGCTTCAGTGCTTATGAACATCATGGTCCTGTGCTTCTGGTTCATTTCTAACCTCAATAGATCTCTTTCTGCATGCTCATCCAATCATTTAAAAGAATGGATTTTATATTTCATCAAGCTTTTAAAAATATTATGCAGCTGAAGTTACACTGTCAGAAAGAGAAGTCTCACTCTAGTAATTTTTAACAAGTCTTCTGGGTTTCCTAGGTACACAACCATATCATCAGCAAAGAAATAGGATTCTTTTCTAATATTTACATAACATTTCATTTACTTGTCTTACTGTATTTGTTGGAACCTCCAAAACAACAGATGGTCTCTGCCTTGTTTCCAAGTTTATTTACAGTGATACTTGCTCCCTCTTATTTTTAGTAAACATTTTATCTTGAAGTAACTAAGTGTATCCATCTGATCTTTTATGGTAATTTTTATTGCTCTAGAAAATTATCCTTTTATTTTCTAACTTACTGGAGAGGACCTGAAAATAGAACTTTATTATAATTTTAAAAATTTGTTGTAATCTGTAGCTATTTACCCTTTTTTGTTTCTAATATAGTTTATTGGTATCTTTTTTCTTCTCTCTGGAACACACTGCAGAAGGCTATCCATTAGATTCTTTTTCTCAAAGAATTAGTTTTAATACCAGATGTACACCAGATGCAAACAGCATTGTTTAAAATACATATTAAATGAAAGGTAATGTTTCTGAGGGTTAAATGACTACTACATTTTCATGATCAAAATTCATTTTTAAGAACAATTCTGTATCCATAAGTATACTAGGTATTATGCCAGAAACCTAGTAGTTCTTCCCTATTCTTACTCTAGTCAACAAACAGCAAGCAGCAAATTATTATTTTCACTTAACTTTGTCAACCCAACAAGAATAAAATATACTGTTTAAAAAGTTTTGCTTAAGAGTGCTATTTGAAGAACGCAACAGAAATGGAAGAACTCTAGGTCAATATAAATAAGAGACTGCACAAAGGGACTCACTGATCTTCTAGAAACATACAAGACAGATGAACAATTAAAATAAAACTGATATAAACTCTTCTCATTTTTAACATATAATCTCAGTTAAAATCTCTCTGAGATTTATAAAAACATTACCCATTCTGATAGTATAATTTTACTACTTACCTGTTTTTCATCAACCTTATTTCTCTTTTCAGTTGGGGGTCATCTGTCTTAGTTGTCTGAGATGTAAGGGTCACGGGAGATGTCATCACCACGGTTTGTGGTAGTGAAGTAGCTGAAGGCGTGGTACGGATCTGATATGTCTGCATATCTCCTGACGCAGCTGTGTTGTCCAAAGAATGAGTTAAAATTTATAAGTGGCTTTGAAACTACTCTGGGATGCTTTCTATAGATACGTAAGCATACTTACTTTGTACAACAACCTGGTTGCTGGGCACAAGTATCTGCTGTCCGTCAGAAGTCTGTGCATACTGGAGAATTGTTGTACCTTGTTGAGCACTGCCTGAATTTGTCATGGTTACTGTCTGAAGGCCCTGTACTCCATCTGTGCCTGGACTGGCCAGCTGTAAGGCTCCATTTGGGGCAATGGCAACTTTAACCAAAGAGAAAACATAGCTAATGTAAGGCTATACAACACACTTATTACAAAGGATTGGCGAACAGAACTAAAAACAGAACCTGTTTTTATTAAAACAGGTTTAAATGCAATTTCACTTGATGACTTGGTTACTTTAGGTGAGCTACATGTAAAAGAAGTAAAATTTGGCATTTCTTGATACAATTTTGTATTTTAGATAAAATTTTGCACTAATCTTAAATTTAGTCTTAAATTATACAGTAACTGATTGGTCATTTGGGGCTTTATGGAGCACTACATGCTAATTGTTAAATGTTAGTCACAGCAGTTCTGGGGCATGAGAAGGGGATACCACTGACAACTAACTTTTAAAGCAAAAATAAGTAGAAGGGAAGAGTAACATAGTCTGTAATTTTTATTTAAAAGCATTACAAAGATTTTATTAAAAATCTTTCAATTAAATTTAAATTAAATCCTTAAAATTTTTGAATAGGTAAGTGTGCCTATGGAAAAAAATTAAGAAAGGATAAAAGATTACATCATGAAAAACTAAATCTTCATAGGCTTTCTCAGCTCCACTCTCCAGTGGTGACACTGTTCTAGTTATCCTTAGCCTTTCCCTATTGCCATACCACAAATATTCCCACATAATTTATAAAATGACTTCAGAAGAAAAGACAAAGTTTTTTAGGTGTAGAGATTTGTTTTAAACTTAAGAGTAGCAATTACTTTCAATCTCTTTCCCTGTAACAGACATTACATACATACATAAATAAATATAAAAAGGAGAAGTCCAGCCTTCCCTGGTGGTCCAGTGGATAAGAATCTGCCTTGCAAGGCAGGGGACACTGGTTTGATCCCTGGTCTGGCAAGATCCCACAAGCCACAGGGCAACTGCGCCTGCCTGCCCCAGAGCCCACGCTCCATAATAAGAGAAGCTGCCACAATGAGAAGACTATGCACTACAACTAGAAAGTAGCCCCTGCTTTCCACAACTAGAGAAAGACTGCACGCAGCAGTGAAGACCCAGTGCAGCCAAAAAATTATAAAATATATTAAAAAAAAAAGTAAAAGGCCCATTATCCCTATTTATTCCACTTGCCATTTCCCACCACCCTCTTGAGGTAACCATTATTTTTGGTGCACATCCTTCCTGGTATCTCCCTATGCTCATATAGACTGATATACAATATCAAAATATAGGGACTTCCCTAATGGTCCAGTGGTTAAGAATTGCCTTGCAATGCAGGGGACAGAGGTACCCTGCCATTCGTTCATCCTTTGTCGGGGAACTAGGATGCTACATGTCGCAGAATAACCAGGCCTGTGTGCTGCAACTACTGAGCCCGTGTACCGCAACTAAGACCCAATGCATTCATCTATTCACACACATTATAGATACACATCTTCTGATGTATATGCAAATGTATACATTAATACAGGATTGTTTTCATTTTTGCAACATATCTTCCTGTACTTGATTAACACGTGTATTTACCTGGTTGAATTTACTGTCAGTCTGTACTATTCAGTCTAGTGGCCATGGGCCACATATGGCTATTTAAATTAATTAAAATAAAAAATTCAGTTCCTCAGTCTCACCAGGTGATCAGTAGTCACACACAGCTTAGGAGCTACTGTACTGAACAGTGCAGATATAGAACATCTGCATCACCAAGGAAGTTCTGCTGCATCAAACTGTCCTTAATACAACATGTACTGTACTTTGATTGTAACATATGAAATACTGTCCTAGTTGCTATATAGTTTTCATAATAATAAACCATGTATCATAACTTTTAAGTTGCTAATATGCTGTTTTAAATATTTTTGGAAATAATAGTACATGTATGATTAAAAAAAATTCAATTTTGTTTAAAATGAAAAGTGAACCTCCCAACTGCTTCTGAGCTCTGCTCCTAAGTTTCCTTCCTTGCAACCACTTTCCCCAGTTTGTGTTCTCAAAAATATTCTATATATATTCTTAAAATTGTATGTTCATAACACATTTTACTGAAAGCCTACTATGTGCCAGGCCCAATATGCCAAGGTTATAGCTGTGAACAAGACAAAGTTCTCTCCTTCAAGGAACTATATTCATAAATCAAAAAAGCTAACATATAGTCTATAATTAAACAAATATATTTTAAAGCATTTATATGTAATTATATTGGGAAAGTACCTAAGAAAATAAAGGGTGGAGCAATATATTTTAGTCACAGTGGTCTCTCTGAGGAGGTGACACTTAAGCAGAGCAAGAGTGAGGATGTAAGCCATGTGAGGATCTGGGTCAAGAATGTGCAGGTGGTAGGGATGACACCTCCAAAGATCCTGAAGCAGAAATGAGCTTCATGTGTTTAAGAAACAGCAAGAAAGTCTGTGTGGCCAAATGGCATCAAGTGGCAGATGAGATCAGAGTAGGCAAAGCCAGATCCTGAATGTAATGCCTTGTAGGACTTATTCTAAATGTGTCAGAAAGCCACTGGAAGATTTTGAGCTTAAGTGGTGTAATCAAATAGACTTTTTAAATAAACTGCTTTGGTTACAATATGGAAAACTATTAGAGCAAGAATGGGAAGCAAGATAACTAATCAGATACTGCAGTAGTTCAGATGAGAGTATAAACCCAGGTGGTGGAGATGGTGAGAAGTGGTCATATAGAACAGCTGTTTTGTGGCAAGAGCCAATCAGACTTAAAGAACAGGGCTTATGAGAGAAGGGAGAGGTTATTTACAAATGGGACAGCACAAATGAATTTCTCGGGGTGATGGAGTATCTTGATTGTGGTGGTGCTTAGGCAACTCCATGCATCTGTCAAAACTCACAGACTTACCCCCCAAAATAAGTATGTAAGCTATGTATCACTAGCAAGCTGTGTGACTTTAGGGATATTAATTGACTAACTCTCTAACCTCAGTTCTCTCGTAAATTGTTAACTGCCCACCTTACAAAATTATTGTAGGGAATAAATGAGATAATGCTAAAAAAGAACTTTGTATTATTTCTGGCTCAAAATGTTACTTATTACCCTTTAATAATCATGACTACTAAAGTATGACCGTCTGCAGCACTCCTTCACACAGAAAGGTTGTTTTCTGTCTCTCAGGTGGGGAATGATTCCTGTACGTACTGTACTGTCCGGTGCTAGTCTGATAGATGGGAGTTGGGACAGACATAGAAGTGACAGCAGAAACTCCAGGGTTTTCTCCGTCTCCTTTTCTGCCCCGTGTATCTTCAGAAGATAGGTCTTTCAAAATCTTTCTGTGAAAAACAGAACTCTATTATTAATGTTTGCAATGAGGACAACTTTACAAAAAGAAATTACTAAACCTCTTTCAATTTCAGGTTAAAAATACAGTGATCTAGTAGACACCTAAACTGTGGTGTCAAAGAATCCTTTGTTTAGCACATACTATTTTTTTACCACAAGCTAGAGATAGTGAAAGACAAGGAAGCCTGGTGTGCTGCAGTTCACGGGGCTGCAAAGAATCAGACATGACTTAGTGACTGAACAACAAGACTTTGTTTAGCAGGCTGATTATATTTTAGTTTATGATGACCTGAAAAGAGACAACGAACAAATACCCATACAGAGTGCCTTTTCAACAACAAGGTGCTTGTAGAGGTAGAAAAGGTCTCTTTATAGGAGAGATGGCTCCATTTTGAGTACAAGGTACTATTCATTTTCTAAATAATGTCAGTGACCTTTATTTAAAAAGATCAAATTGGGGACTTTCCTGGTGGTCCAATGGTCAAGAATCCATACTTCCACTGCAGAGGGCACGGGTTTGATTCCTGGTCTGGGGACTAAGATCCTACATGCTGCATGGTGCAGCGATCAATCAATAGATTAAATTTATTTTTTCAGCCTTCAACTCTATAATGGAAGAGAAATCCATAGTTCTCAGAAAGAAACAAGGAGATTAAAAATACTACTCTAAGACTGGTGTTTGCCAAGGTGGAAGGGGATGAACTGGGAGTTTGGGGTTAGTGAATGTAAACTGGTAATATTCAGAATGGATAAACAATATCCTACTGTATAACACAGGGCACTATAGTCAGTATCCTGTGATAAACCATATGTAAAAGAATGTATATATATGTGTGTATAAATTGGGGGGATGAAGTCCATTTTCCTAACTTTGATGGAAAGTTAAAAAAACTATTATAAAAACACAGAGTATCTGTGATAAATAAAATTCATTATTTTGACAAGAAGTACACTCCACAAAAATAAGGCAAAAATAAGAGGATGGAAAAAGATGCCTTGCTGAAAAGAAAGGTCTTCCAAAACACAGCTGGGGATGGAAGGAGCATTATTTGTTTCTGAGAAGAAAAGAAAAAAGAAATTTTTACTGAAGAATTCCACGTTTGTTGGAGAAAAATTAGAAAACCTTAACTACTTGTGCAAAAACAATAACAAAAAAGAATCACAAAGAAAAAAAATAATAACCCTTAGCATTAAAAGAGATCTTTCATGTTACCTATGCTAAACTTCCACCCAGTCGAGGAATCCTCTAATATTATTAACAGCTTCTATTTCTAGGAATAAGGCATCCACAATTTCAAAAAGCAAACTATTCAATTATTGGATGGTTAGAGCTCATCCTTGTTTAGATTCAAAGCTAATTCCACCCAGTGAAACTAGAGAAAGTTAAACTTTATACCCTAATCCTATATCCATGTCCTAGCTTTGCAATATCTGACAACTGCGTCAGGTTTTCTTCATTGGAGGCCATATAATTTCAGATCCTTCAGATGTTCTCTTATCACATGTTGAAGCTCCTTTCACAGTTTGGTGCCCTTAACCTGAACAGTCTTCCCACCAGGAACTACAAGTGTAGACTATACTAACAGAAGTTCCACACTGGAGAACAAAGGACGTGGCGGTCCTACGAACTCTGTGTTACCCGTCTGTAGAACAGACACTGTGCTTCCCAAACCTGCTGTATACCAGAATCATCTGGAGAGGCTTATTGAATCCAGATTCCCAAATGGCATCTATAATGATTTGAGTGAGCAGGTCGGGACAGGCCTCGAGATTACATTTAACAAACTGTCTGCATGGTCCTAGGCAGCCAGCTTTGCATCAAACTGTGGAATGCTGTGCCCATTTCTTTTTCAATTTTAAGTTATGAAATATTTTGAGCACAAAAAGTACAGAAGGGCTTCCCTGGTGGCTCAGTAAGAATCCACCTGCCAATGCAGGAGCCACTGGTTCAATCCCTGGTTCCTGAAGATCCCACATGCTGTGGAGCAATTAAGTCTGTGTGCCACAACTCCTAAGCCTGTGCTCTAGAGTCAGAGAACTACAACTGCTGAGCGCATGCACCCTAGAGCCCGTGCTCAGCACTGAGAGAAGCCGCCACAAGAAGCCTGCACATCACAACTAGAGAGCAGCTCAAGGGCAGCTCACCTCAACTAGAGAAAAAGTTGTGCAAGACCCAGCTCAGCCAAAAAAAGGACAGAAAGTAAAACACCTATGTACCACATACCAGGAATCAACTGATGGCCATTTTGCCATGTTTGCTTCAGATACCTCATTTTTAACAGGAATTAAGTTACATATACACCAAAATGTCACCACCAATTCCTTTCCCTGACCTTTTCCCCTCTCAATGAGTGCCATTATCTAAATTGTTATTTATCATTCCCACATATATTACTTTAATTTTACTATATTTTGAGATACTATTTGCCACTGTCTTACAATCTTCCTCATCCTCCTTATTCAACCTTGGAGAATCTTAAAGAGCCATCTTTTGGACTTCTCTATCTACATTCTTTCCAATGAACTCATCTGTCCCAAAGGCCTGAATACCTTGTGTACACTGATGACCCCTCAAAATGGTATTTTCTCAGCTTCTCTCCTGAACTCGAAACTCACATATCCAACTGTGTATTGAATGCTTCCATTCAACAGGCACCTCAAACTTAATACCTTCAAATCTAGTATCAGATATTCTTCTACCCCTGGCAGTCTTACCCATGTCAGTAAATATCAGCCCTACTTTTCAAAAATTTTGGAGTCATCCTCTTTCTCACAACCTTTATCCAATTCATAAACAAATCCCATTGTCTCTATCTTGAAAATATATTCAGAATCTTACCCATCCTTATCACCTCCACTGTTGTTCCCCAAGTCCATGCCACCAACTCCTCCTGACTGAACAATAGCCTCTAGCAGGTCCTCCTTGCTACAGTCTTTTCTCCACACAACAACCAATCATCTTTTGAAAATGTCAGTTAGGTCAAATCACTCATGTGCAATGGTTCCCTATCAGAATAAATGACATGGTTGACAAGGTTTGTCCCTGTGACTTCTCCAACCACTCTTCCCTTTATATTCATCATCCAGCCATCTTGCTACAAGATTATCAATTTTACTGATTCCACACCCCTCCACCCCCGCAAAAAAACACCTTTCAGTTATATTATCTCTATTCGTTTTCTCTTTAAGTTCACAGATTTCTGCTCTCCCGCACCCCCACTTGCACCACTTGTCTTACAGGATGTTAGTTCCCCAACCAGGAATTGAACCCTCCAGCAGTGGAAACATGGAGTCCTAAGCAACAGACTGCCAGGGAATTCCCTGATTTCTGCTCTTAATCTCTATTATTTTGTTTCTCCTGCTTGTTTTAAGCTTATTTTGTTTTACCCCTAGTTTCTTAAAGTGGAAGCTGAGACTGTTGATTTGAGACCTTCCTTCCTATAAAGTGTTTAGTAAGGTAAATTTCCTTCTGTTTCCTACTGATTTGTTATTTCCTACAGAGTTTGGTATTTTGTATTTTTATCTTTCATTAAGTTCAATGTTTTCTAATTTCCCTTAAGATTTTCTGTTTGGACCACAGATTATTTCTAAGTGTGTTAATTTCTGTATGGAGATTTCCTGTTATCTTTCCTTTATTGGCTTCTAGTCTAATTCAAGTATGAGTAAAGAACTTTGTGTAATTTCAGTTTTTCTAAATTTGTTAAGGTTTGTTATGATCCAGGATGTGGTCTTTTCTTGGTGGATATTCTTTGTGCATGTAGGTGAAGTGTTCTAACAATGCCAATTAGATCCAACTGGTTGATGGTATTGTTCAGTTCTATAATCTTGCTTCTTTTCTGCTGTAACTTCTGTTGGATACTCAGATAGATGTACACAAATTTTCAAATGTAACTGTGGATTTATTTTGCTTTCCAGTTCTGTAAGTTTTTGATACATGTATTCTGAAGCTCTGTTGTTAAGTGCATACATATTTAGGGTTGTTATATCTTCTTGGTGAACTGATTTTATCTCTGATAATATGTTTTACTTTCAAGTCTATTTTGTATGATACTAATACACCCATTTTACTTTTACTGTGATTGTTATTTCTCTTGCTTAGATGTATAGCAATAGTAGTAGTGGTTTACAAGGTAAATATGTTCAGTATTTTGAAGAACTGCCAGATTAATTCCACACTGTTCCCCTTACCAACATTTGTTATGTTTTGGATTTTTTAAGCATCCTACTAGGTTTGAAGTGGTATCTCATTATTTTGATTTGCATTTACCTAATGACAATTCATGCTGAACAATTTTTCACATGCTTATTGGCCATTTGTGTTATCTTCTTTGGATAAATATTCTAGTCTTTTCCTCATTTTTTAACTGGGTAATTTGTCTTAACAATATTCAGTCTTCCAGTTGATGAACACATAATGTCTTTTCAGTTAAGATTTTTAAAAATTCCTCTCAATGAAGTTTTGTAGTTTTTAATATGCAAGTATTAATATTATATACATCTGTTAAATTTACTTGACTGGCTAAAAAGTTCATTTAGGCTTTTCCATATGGCAAAAAACCCAAATAAACTTTTTGGCTGACCTGATAAATTATATATTTTTATATAGTTTATGTTGTTATGAGTAGGACTGTTTTTTTTAATTTCAGTTCTGGATTGTTTATTGCTAGTGTAGAGAAATACAATTCATTTTGTATCCTGCAACCCTGCTGAACTTGTTTATTATTTCTTCTTTAGTGGATCCTTTGGGATTTTCTATATATGAAATCACTGTCATCTGCAAACTTTTATTTCTTCCTTTCCTGTATGCTTTTTATTTAATTTTCTTGCCTAAGTGCCTGAGAGTAGAAGCAGTGAGAGTAAGCATTCATAGTCTTGTCCTGTGCCTGCTCTCAGGAGAAAATACTCAATCTTTCTCCATTAAATATGTCAGCTATGGGCTTTTGTAGATAGATACTCATCATCAGGTTGAGGAAATTCCCATCTATTTGTT